GAATGCCCTCAATGAAAATGAGTTTAACAACCCTAATGTAAAGAGTGAGGCATCTGATGACCCAGATGCCCAGCCTTCTCTATCTCGTGGCTCTATATCCAGAGAAACCAGTTTCTTCCCAAGAAAAACAAATCTATATCTTTGTCCCCGTGCCAAAGCTTTAAATCAAGATAACCTAATGTGAGAGTTTAGAACATGTATGCCAGTTTGGGGATGAATTTTAAGTCCCATCGTCCCTGATAAATCTGCTAATTGAATGATAGGAGTCATAGTTGAGTTCTTCTGTAGGACCCCAGGTTGTTGAGAAAGAGCCAAAAAGGATACCTTGCTTGTGCCTTGCATGCTCAGTAATATATCTTGTTATTAACCTGTAATAGTAGTAACAATAGCATGCCAATAAATCATTCAGATTCTCAGTAGTTTACAACAAAATAAATGCCGAATGACATTCTCTAGTAGAGGGACCCAAAACAAGTCTCTTGTATAGAACCTGATGGGAAGGGTAGATGGCACTGGGGAAATGTGATCTCTCAAATAACCCAGCCCAAAGGGCTTTATAGGTAACCATCAGAATCTTGGAATCAGAAGCAAATTGGTAACCTATGCAGATCATGGAGCAGGTATGTAACATACACACATCTAGGTGCCGGCATAACTGCCCGTGCTGCGGCATTTTGCACCAATGGAAGCTTCTGGATATTCTTCAAGGGCAGCTCCCATTAGATCAATGCAGTCTGGATTGATGTGCTCTAGGCTTCTCCCCACATTCTTCTAGCCACTGCATGAGGATATTTCACCGATTGAGCTAAACGTCATGCCTCAATCCTCGCTCACTAGAAAAGAAAAGCAGTTTATGCTTATCTTTAGCTGTTCCAGTTGAAAAGTGGTGTTTTCCCTCTTCTGACAAAAGAAGACTTGCAGACTTGGCTCTGCTGGTTATCCTGGGGACCAAAAGGGTGAGTTCCACACTGGAGGTGGCTGCTGGATTGATGACTCCACCTCTCTTCCCCCTTGCTCTCAGCTTTCCACCCATCCATCTTTTTGCTTATCATAGTGATGTATTCTCATGGTGTGCCTTTTTCATTGCTTATTTTATGGTTCTATTATTTTACCTCTGTTTTGTTTGCATTCCTTTCTTTTCCTTCCTTTTTATTATCATGAGCCACCTAGAGTGGCCCCACAGTGAGACAGGCAACAAATACATTTAACAAATAAATACATACTAAATAAAGTCTTGACACAATCTCAGATGCTTCATTGACAATGCTAGTGATAATGTGTTCAGGAGCTGAGATTTTGAAAGAACAGTAAAGCCATCTTTAAAGAAATAAGCAAAAGGAAAACAAGACATTGTATGCTGATGAGTTTGTCAAGTGGAATAACTGACCAAAGCAATCATTAGTACTGCAACATCTTGGCTGGTAAACAAGGGGATGCTGTTCCCAGCCAACTTCACTCTCTTGAGCATTTACTCTAATCAATTAGGAAACTCTCTAAAATTCTTCCCCTCCCTGATTAAAATCCATTACTGTAGGGAACTCCTCCCCACTCTTGGTTCCAAGGGGGAAAGGAAGAATCAATTTACATTTAAATGTAAAACACAAACACTAGTACACCCAAGTCATCTTGATGAGAATTGCCATTATGGTACCTCAACCTCGGTTTCTCTCCCCATCTTTTTTTTTAAAAAGCACTCTGCATTTCTTTGCCATTGCAATTTACCACCCAGCCCTTCCTCATCCCACCCAATAATCCTTCCCACTACACCTCTCAACTTGCCAGTTAGCCAGTTTTGGGCTATTTATAAACTCAGATGCTGTTCAAGAATGGTGCTGCTCCAGAATTTGTGATAGAGCACTATTCCAGAACAGTGTTAAAACCAAAGTCCCCAAAGGAATCTAAAAAGCTCTTTTGGGAACCACATTGCATAAAACCAGAGCAATGCTTACTTCCTTACAACCCCAATCTCACATCAAGGGCAGCAGTTGGTTGACACTTCTAATGAATATTTTTTATTTCCATTTACATTTTCATAACACACACTCACATGTATACTATACATAGCCCAAATCATATAGTATTAAATAATAATTACATCAGTTTCTCTTGTCAACAATGCCCAAAAAAGTAAAAACCCATTATAGCTCTTCTGCTGTCCATACACCTTTCTTCTACCACCCTCCAACTTTCTATTTTCCCTCCATCATCCTTTTCTACTCTACTTCCCCTCCCTTTCTACTGCTCCTCTCTCTACAATCCACTCCTCCTTATCCTTCTCGTCTTCCCCCCTTACCCTCTCTCCTATCCTTCTCTTCCCATCTTTCTTCTCCCTTCTATTTCCCACTCCTCCTCTCCTTGGTGTATTTCCGCTACATGTCAATATGCTTAACATATCCTATTTTTAAAGAAAAAATAGTAATAATAATAGTAATGAAAATATAAGAAAAAAAACAGTATACATGTGGGGTCCAATTACATTAAAATCTTAACACTTCTAACACAACATCTAACATCTAACACAAGAGACACTTCTGCCTGCCTACTGGCAATACTTGCTGGGAGGATTTCTCTGCAGGGACACAACCATTTCCTGACTAGTTACTGAATAGGCTTCAGTGGTGGGACAAGGCAAAGTAGACTGGCAGAGTTTCCGGTCACTTCAAGGGTTGGAGGCAGGGTGAAATCCAACAGGTTCTGGAGAAATTTTAAGTAGTCCGGAGAACCAGTAGCAGAAATTTTGAGTATTCGGAGAACCAACAAATGCCACCTCTGGCCCCAGAGTGGGGTGGGAATGGAGATGTTGCAGTATTTTTCCCCTGCCACGCCCACCAAGCCGCACCATGCCCACCAAACCATGTCCACAGAACCAGTAGTAAAAAAAAAAATGAATTTCACTACTGAAATTTGGAGGGAAGTACTTTCACACAGCTATGAAAAAGCCCTATATAAATCATTAGCTAGAAAATGGCGTAGTGTAAATAAAGCTCAAACTATTGTCATGTTTTTCATCTTTCCTTTTTTTTCTTGGCATTTAACTACCTTGCCCATGAAGACAAAAATTAGCATATCAGCAACTAAATGATAAGCATTAATTGGAATAAGAAAAGGTATGGCCTATATGGATTATGTTCTCCCATGATGACCAAAGAGAGAAGTAAACGCAGGAACATTTAGCTGAAAGGGTAGCTTGATTTCAAGATAATTATGGTTAATGGTGTTTAGCATTTTACCAAGTTCTCGGTGGATCTGGAGGTAGGAAGAAAAAAAAAGGCTGTAATTGAATTTGTTCCATTAGTGGTCTTCCAGCCTTGAATGTATGGTATCTGATACTTCATGGGGATTTTGTTCCCTCTTACGATGCTCAAAAATTCTTCCAATGCAAACTGGATAGCATCAACTACATTTCCTCACAAGTTCTGCAAGACGTCTCATAGGTTTTTTTGTTTTTTGTTTTTAAATCTAGACAGGCAGAGTGAAATCCAGCAGTGAGAATGAAGCATTTGAATTAGGAGTTTGATATAAATATTTCATAGAAGAAATAATTGGCAATCGGAATGCTCTGCCAGAGGAAGTGACGGAATCAGAATTAGACATCTCACATTCCATTAAAAAAACATGTCCTAAATGCTTATACATTATCAGCACAATGCACCCCGTTGCCTGTGAGAAATCAGACTAATTATCAGAGGGTTGCTTCTATAATCTGCAATTTGGTTAATCATGTTACACTTTCCATTCCTAAACGCCTGTTCTTAGTCAGAAGTAAGTTTAATTAAAACCAGGGGAGCTTACTCTTCAGTACCTGAGTTCAAGGGATAATTTTATCAATGCTGACAATCTCCATGTGCTTGTTCTTGTGGAAATCAATGCTGAGTTTTTAATTGAGCCCAATGAATTGTGGTAATAAACTAAGTTATTTCTGTACGCTAGAGGGCACTGCGCATCAAGAATTAGGGTGAATGTGCAGAAAGGCCTGATTAGATTAACAAAAGTGTAATTTTAACATCCTTTAATGGCCAATTCTAGGTGATAGTCTATCAGTCTAATGGTAGAATCAATTTGCCTATATTACAACAAAACAAGATTTTGTATAGGCTTGCTTGGTGGCTGAATTACAAACCAGGATGAATCTAGTTTTAGACATTTTAGACATTTTTAGACATTTTTTAGACATTTTAGACATAGTTTACTCATAGTTTACTCTTTACTCTTGAATGCTAGTTTCCTGAAATTAGACAAGAGTGGGCTTACAGCAGTCAGGTCATAGATGTCTAAAACATCTTAGCAGATAAAAATTGAAAGCAAAAGGCATTCCAACATTATTAATGCTGTATGAAGGGTTGGGAGACATAATACCTTAATGAAACCTAGGATATGTTCCATCAAAATGATATTTCCAGATCAGTGTTCCTCCGGAAATTGAAGTTCACATGTCTTAATGTTGCCAAGATTGAGAAACACTGCACTAGATCAGGGGTGTTAAACTTAGGGCATCACGTTGCCATGACGTATCGCAACTCCCCCCCCCTTTGCTAAGCCGGGGGTAGGTGTAGCTGGCACGTGACGCATCTGGCCTGCAAGCTGCAAGTTTGACACCCCTGCAGTAGATAAATGAGTTGGCCACAATTAAAATAGGTCCAAATAAGCCATGATGGAAGCTAGTGAGCAGAGGATGCCATCAAGAGGCTATTAATTGAGAACAACTAGAGTGGTCAATCAAAGCCAAGCAGAAGGGTGAGAAGCTACAGATCCTGTTTGTCTAAGGAGCCATTTCATGAAGGCTGCTCATAATAATTAGAGCAGGGTTTTTGCCCTGTTGCATTGTCCTATAACGCAGCGGAGGTCTGTGGACTTCTGAATGCAGCTGAACTGAAGTGCCCAACAGATTAGCTTCAGGCAAGGGTGACAGTATGCTCTGCAATTCAACACCATTGGGAACTGGACAGAAGTTGTACCTTCCATTAGTCATAGAAGAGTATTGAAAGATCTTTTTTCCACAGGTGGGTGTTCCTGCATGAGAAGGCCTACCAGATAAGGGACACCTCCATTGAATCATCTGTCGTGACAAAAGTGAAGGGGTTTGGCAACTACAGCAACCGCATTATGGATACAGCAGATTACGTCACACCTCCACAGGTAATGCTGTCCAAGCGGGTAGGGATAGCAGAGAGACTCACAAGATTATGTTTGCTGCAAAATAAAAATAAAAATAAATGAGCAAGGCTACTCTTGGAGAATGTTCACCAGCCCCTTCAAACAGCAGCCTTCAATATCTCCTCCGCTAAGCCCTGTAACTTTAGTATAGGCCACAGGCAGCCTTCGTCACATTTGGGGGTCCATAGAACTCCCCCAGGATCATGCCACCAAATATCAGCTGCAGAATGATTTTCCTGTGGGAAACAAAGGGAAATCAGCATGCGAAGCCTCTGATCAGCTTAACACATCTATAAAAGTAAAATCCCACCTCCCACACAAACGCACACATGCTGCCAAAATGGGAGAAAACCAAGTGAAAATTCTTCCCTGCCCCGTCTGTTAATTTTATTACATTACTTCATTATTTCCATGGCTATTAAAAACAATAATGTAAGTGCCTCCTTGATGCAGGAATGCAATCTGCCCTTGAAAAATAGGGCAAAAAGCACAGCAATTTTAGTGAAATAAAACGATAGAGATAACCTGTGTGTGTATCCACCCAAATCACAACACAACAAGACAATAAAAAAACAATATTAGCAAGAATTAAAACTTGGAAAACACAATTTCCCATGTCTGAGTTCATACATTGAGTTAAACCCAAATTAAACAAACTACATTATAGCTTGGTGTGGTGTCTAAGCATCATAAGATTGTTTGCTCAGTGATAGATTAGACAGATTGACATCCTTCAAAACCAGTTGTTTCAAATAAGTCTAAAAGCACGTAATGAAACACATCGTATTCCCAAATAACTCCACCATCAAGGCATAGTTCATTAAGTGACTACTGGTAATCCAGGATCTGGTTCCTCTGCTTCACTCAGTTGGGCAACTCCTATTTTTTCTTTGCCCCGTTTGGGAATATGTGTTGTGCGGGAGGGCTAAAGTTTTCTGGGATAGGAAATTCCATAACCAACTGCTAATAACAGTAGCCATCTGGTTTCATATGTTGTCAAATAAGCCATGAGAAAGGCAGAAGAAAGGAGAGGTGAGCTTAAACAGCAGATGGTGTAAAAATGAATGGGACCCTCATTTGGGCCAAGGGCAATCAGCTAACCAAACTGGCTTCAGTCTGGTGTGCAATGCACCACAAGCGGTGCCCCATTAATAGCTTGAGTGTTTTTTGCAGCTTATACAGCAGCCAATCGAGGAAGCTCAACACAGTAATGGTGTTCTATTATTTTAATGTCTTTAAAAATCTCTGCCATATTCTAGAACGATGCAATTGCAGGGGTAGCAGGTTCCATAATAAAGCATGATGACAGCAGAATGATAATAACCTCATTCCACAAATCTCACACGTACTTATTAATATCATGACATTTAATCCGGGTATTTCATTCCTGGCATTAGCAAGATGATAATATTGCAAATGTGTGGCTTTTCATTTGTTTCTCTCCCTCTACAAGTACCCATATTTGCGGCAGGAGCATTATGTGAGAATTTCAAGGGAGGGAATCTATGTTGCTTGATAACTAGCACAATGTTTTGCTTATACAGGTAGTCTGTGACTTATCACAGGCCATTCAGTGACCATTTGAATTTACAGCGGCACTGAAGAAGTGACCTAGGACCATTTTTCACACTTACAACCATTGCAGCATCCCTGTGATCATCCAATCAAAATTCAGATGTTTGACGGCTGGTTCATATTTATTAATGTTGCAGTGTCCCAGGCTCATGTCATTGCCTTTTGCAAAATTCTTACAAGCAGAGTCAATGGGGAAACCCGATTCACTTAACAATCATGTTACTAACTTAACAACTGCAGCAATTAACTAAACAACTGTGGCAAGATAAGTCACAAAATGAAGAGAAACTCACTTAACAAATGTTTCACTTAGCAACAGAAATTTTGGGCTCAATTGTGGTCATAAGTCAAGGACTACCTGTACTACCATCACAACAAAGAACCAATTACACAGGCTCCTTAGGTTGCACCTATCGACCACCAAAATAAGGGAAAATGCAATATAATACCAATTATATTGGCCAGCTGATTTTTGGCCTTCCAGGTGGTGGTAGGAGGCTGTTTTCACCCTTCCCGGGCTTCAGGAAAGCCTCCAGGGCCTGTGGATGATGAAAAATGGGCCCAACGGGCCTATCTGAAGTTCGTTCCTGATGAAAAACGACCCAATAGGGCTACTGGAAGTCTTCCAGGAGGCTTCAGTGAGGCCTGTGCGCATGCGCAAGGGGGGACTAGGGAGGGGGGGTTGTGTGTGCATGCACCGGGGAGGGCATTGCATTATGGGTGTGGACACGCACGCAGGCCCTTTTGACACCTGAGCAGAAAAACATTCGCCATCATTGTACTAGGGAATAAATACTCTAATAAGGAGTTCTTATAGTGAACTGACTCATAATGGTATCTCTCTAGGCTCGGTTTAGCTGTTGTGATTTCTAAACCATGTTTTATGGCTTAGCATGCTGTTGCAACCTAATTACAATTTATTGAATTAGCCATAGGTAAACAAACAATTTTGTACAATGCACAAAACTAGTCCCTGTTCAAAAGAAAAGGGATGGGTGAGTGGGTTGGAGAAAGAGAACAAGAATAGAGAATGCCTAACAAATTTTTCATGCTGCATGGGGTTGCAAATCCCACTTGTTTTTCTAAAAGTTAGAGAACGTATCTTCATTTATTCATTTTGATTGCTGAAAAGTGCAAAACGGGAACATACTCACAAAGAACCCTGACAGTCTTGCTTAACTACAAAGAGGGAAAGATATATTCAAAAATTGTGGCATAATTAGAACGACTGCTAACTGAAAACAAGAACAAAATGTCAACTCATTATTTTTCCAGCCCAATCCTGAATCACATCTATAGTAATGAATGAGGCTGGTTCAACATAACCAACGGCTTCATCCTTTTCCCATGGGTGTTTGCAGAGGAGAGGGGTATGTCCAAAGAATCAAGGTGTCTTGCATTTCTTGCACATAAAAATAAACAGGGTCTCAATTGTGTGATTGTAGTCACCACCTGGCCTTTTTTTCACCCTACCCTTCCCCTCTGCACTGGATTCCCAACTGCTAGTAGAATTGTTGCTTCCCTGCTTGGAGCTTGGCCTGATCTCCTCTTTGAGCTAGTCAATCCTCCCACAAGTTGACCAATCCAGGAACACTGTCTAGTATCTAACTGCCACACAAACCCTTCCTTGTTCTTCTTTCAACACATTTGTTGCAGATTTGGGGGAAAGAGCTGGTATTGTACTTTTTTTCTGAAATCACAGAAATTTATGTTAATTCAGTTATTGTATGTGAAACCAATGCCAGATCTCTTATTAGGAAAGACATTGTTCCCTGAACAACACGGATGCATTTAGACAATAGAATAAGAAGAAAATGGCAAATGAAGTAGCAGCTGAGGGTAAACTGCAGAACCAGCTGAATAATTTAAGAGACTGACAATAAAATAATTGCTGATTTTTGTTAAGTGCAAGTTCATAAAGGACCCAATGAACAATTCTGGATGTCTTCTTTCCTGAAAGGTAATTCTCACTGCAGACCAATTACAATTTCCCAATTGCCTGGGAATAAATCCCATTTAATTCAGTAGGATAGGCATAAGATTAGCTACCGTAGTAATCAACTGCAAAGATTATCCGATAGCCAAAGGTTTCCTAACTAGTGGAATTAAGAAAAAGGATTCCTCTAATTAAGGCTAGGATCCATTGATAGTCATAATCCAGCATTCTGACTCCTAGCTATCCCGATGGAAGCTGTTCTTCCATCTCCTCTTCTTGCTTTGGCCAGTTCATTGTCAGGAACTATAATAAGTCTCAGCTTCTGGAGCATATGAAATACGTGTTAGGAAATCGGAAGTTTTTCTTTGTGCACACTTGTAACATTGTGAAACATTTTGCAGGAGTGCAATAAAGAAATGCAAAGCTTCCTGGCTGCAATATGGAAATGACTCAAGCAAGGTTAGGAACGTGGTGTATCTTAGAAATGTTCCTTCTTATGCTTCAATGTTGAAAAATATTGGGGGGATAATATGGACATTTGTGGTAGTGGTGGGATTCATCCAGTTCTCACCTATTCGGGAGAACTGGTTGGTAACTTTCTAAGTAGTTCAGAGAACAAATCTTTTGTTTTTTCCCACTTTACAGGGCTAATCCTGTAAAGAAGGCAGGAAGGAAACATTCTAGTGTTGTTTCTA